AGAGATCGTGTAGAGATAGAGATAGAGAGAGAGAGAGAGAGAGAGAGAGAGAGAGAGAGAGAGAGAGAGAGAGAGAGAGAGAGAGAGCTTGGTTACTCTTGTCATCGCACAGTGACACGTGAACTCTCACGCACGAACACGATCGCCAATTTGCCTTCACAGGTTTAGGGACTGTCGTAAAACTTTTGTGCAAGCTACACATATCCACTCAAAAGAAAAACAAGCTCACAGAAAAAGGTGGAAAAGGGAAGAGATCTCTATAAACCCTTCAATGCTACTAAATCTGCAGAACCCTTCAATATTACTAAATTTATAGACCTATCAATACAATTTTGTTTTGTCTCTGTAGGACACATACATATAAAGATATATGCTCTCCCAGTAATTTGCAAATTAATGACCTTTCGCGATGCAATGGTTTTTGCAACTGATTAAAAAGACATTTTCATCTAAATTAAAATCGGTCGTGAAAGCGTCGAGGTAAAGGTACACGTAAAAAATTCGCGCTAAAGAAGGGAAGTCACACTATGTGTTGAATACCTTTCACCGGGCTCCTTCAGTAGTTCCTCGGGAACGGCCACCGATTCGTCTGGACTCTTTGCAAAAAAAATTATAGAGCTTGGTTATTTTAGGGTATATTTAGCAAACACTCCTTGTACGAACTTCATATTCTCAATCTATCATCATTCAATCATTCTATCACATACTGACAGAGATGATCGGACATTAATAGACTACACAGAAGTTAATTATGCTACACTACTAATTATAGTTAATTGTGCTACATTACTAATTATAGTTAATTATGCTTCACTACTCGACGTTCTGGTGAGCCTGTGGTCGTTACGGTATTAATTTATACTAGCAAACACTCCTAGTACCGACCAACGTTTATCACATACTAACAGAGATCATTGAACGTAAGACCAGGATCTATGCAGCAGGAACTGTTACTGTTAGTTACACTACACTATACTCGTCTTTCCGGTCGCCGGTAATTACCCAGTGCTATTCTAGCTGTCAGTAAGAAACACATGATCGTATCAGTAACAGATGATAGGTGATCGTACCTGCGGCGGCTCGATCGTCGAGAAGGTCTAGAGTTAAGTTACGAGAGGGTCTAGGATTTCGTAATGTTAAGAGGAAATTTGCAAGGATTTTTCGTTCTAGTAACTTAACGACATTTCCATTAACGATCCAGGAATCGAAGTTAATGTTAAGACTAATGTTAAGACTAATTTTGTTCCTGACTACGACCCCCTGGTCGCAATTAATTACCCCATACAACTGCACATGTCAGGATCAGCATGCAACAATAGGTGCTCGTACCTGCGGCGGCTCAATCGTCGACATCAGCGCGGGCCAGTAGAACAGCGAGACAAACCTATTCTTCGCGAGCCGGTAGGCTGCAGACCGCCTCGCCACCTCCAACAACTCCGTCTGCCCTCGATTCTTCCCGGAGCTTTTCGCCGGCGTTTCGCTCGCCGCCGCGGCCGGACGACCCGACCTCGCCTGTTTTTCGCCCACTGACGCGGATTGTCGGCGACCGACAGGTGGCGCCGGCGCTGTCTTCTGGGTGGCATCGGCGAGCGCTTGCTTCCGGATGTCCTTCAGGTTGAGCGACTGTCCCGGAGCGAGATGTACGACGAACGATTGCTTACCGACGCTCACCGCGGCCGCTTGACCGACGGCAGGGCTGTAGCAGGTTGTCGCTGACGGCTGCTTCGCCAGGGAGGTTACCACGAGGTTTGGAGGATGTGCTGCCGCCGACGTCTGGCTGTCTGACGTATTTGTTGTAGCGACGCCGTTCGTTGTCGTGGCGGAACTAATCGTCGTTGTAGCAACGCTACTTGTCGTCGTAGCAACGCTGCTCGTCGTAGCACCACTCATTGTTGTAACAGCGCCACTTGCTGTTGAAGCAACAGCATTCATTGTCGTAGCAACAGCACTCGTTGTCATAGCAACGACACTCATTGTCGTAGCAACTCCACTCGTCGTCGTGCTGACAGCTGTGGTCGGAGAAATCCCCACCATGACAGCACCTGGAGGGTCGAGCACTGGTAACTGAAACACAAAAGAAACAAAGCGAATGGCTCTCAGTTGGACTCTGGATTTGGACGATGTTACGTCTTGCGTAACAGACGATGCCTGGGCGTGTAGCGTGACATGCTTTACAAAGATTTTACTTTGGGTACCGGTACTAACCTTGGTTGGCATTGACAGCAGCTGTGGCTGTGATGACCCCATCAATGCCATGGCTGTTCCTGCTTGCAGTGCCTGAGTGCTGGTCGGCACCACAGCAGCAGTACCGGAGGTAGCTTTAGTTCCTGAGAACAATCGCAGAATGTTGTTATTACCAAACACATTCTCCACTTAGAAGTTTGTTTAAACTTGGAAAATGTTTACGGGACAAGGTCTCAGTGTCAGAATTTGCTCGCAGGCACTGAGAAACAGATGCTAATTCTTCAACAGCCTCTATATAATCACTATACACATACACTATACGCCATACCCTATAAGTCCATACTCCACAGTTCACTATACACATACACTATACGCCATACCCTATAAGTCCATACTCCACAGTTCACTATACACATACACTATACGCCATACCCTATAAATCCACACTCCACAGTTCACTATATGCATTCACTATACACATACACTGTACGCCACACACTATATCTCCACAGTTCACTATACACATACACTGTACGCCACACACTATATCTCCACAGTTCACTATACACATACACTGTACGCCACACACTATATTCTTCCACAGTCACTATACACATACAGCTGTACGACCACACACTATTATCTCCACAGTTCACTTATACACATACACGTACGCCATACACTATTCTCCCACAGTTCAGCTATTACACATACACTGTACGCCAACACACTTATCTCCACAGTTCACTATACACATACACTTACGCGCCACACACTATATCTCCAACAGTTCACTATACACATACAGCTGTACGCCACACACATATATCTCCACAGTTCAGCTATAAACATGACAACTGTATCGCCACAACTATATCGTCCACAAGTGCACTATACACATACACTGTACGCCACACACTATATCTCCACAGTTCACTATACACAATACACTGTACGCCACACACTAAGCTTCCCAACATTCATAACCACAGCCAACTCATATTCACAGCCTATACACTATACACTGTACGCCACAACACTATATACTCACAGTTCACTCATACACATACACTGTACGCCACACATAATCTCCACAGTTCACTATACACAATACACTGTATCGCCACACAGCTAATATCTCACAGTCCACTATAACAATTACACTGGTACGCACACACGTCACATATCTCCGCAGTTCACTATACACATACACTGTACGCCACACACCATATCTCCACAGTTCACTATACACATGCACTGTACGCCACACACCATATCTCCACAGTTCACTATACACATGCACTGTATGCCATACACTATATCTCCACAGTTCATAAAACATGAACGGGATCATTCTGTACCAAAAAGATCCACGACGCATCCACGGCATTAGGTGCATAATACACATGATAGCGCTAATTTCTACGCTAGTCAAGAAGCAACTGTTGTCCACCTGATTTCGCCTCGCTCGGATGGGAAATGGTCTTCAACACGTCACGTATGAGGGTGCCCTTTGGGAACTTCAACATGTAAGGCTGACGACCAGTGGTGCCCTCTGTTCCGGGGATGTGGACGATCTGGGATTCACAGCCGTTAACTGCTCCGGGTTTCTGCTCCCCAGGCAACATGTCACGTGACTAGAAAGAAAACAAATAATAGGAGGAAGAGGAGAAAGAGGAAGAGGAGGAAGAAAAAGAACAAGGAGGAAAAGAAGAGTAAGAAGAAGAAGAAGCAGAAAAAGAATTATTATTCTGGTTAATAGTATGTGTTTAAATACCTCTCTATCACATATATTACGTTACATTATGTAAACTTAATCTTAACGTTACAATACAAACATACATACATAACACACGTCACCAAATACCTTCACCAGTTTCTTGCGTTTCAGTAAAAGTAATTTGAACGCTCTCAGAGTTGCGACAGTAGGGGGCAACATTGACGACTTCTGATCCTTTCCCTCATCGTCGCTCGCTCCAAGCATCTTTCTAGCCACGACTTCCACGGTTGCTACTGACGACGGATCACACCTTCCTATAACAGCAACATACTGCCATACTGGTTCATTTTTAATTTTTTTTAAACTGGTTATTCTATTCAACATATAGTTCATGAGCAGATAGCACACAGAGTGCAGCCCGCTGAGTGCAGCGCGCAGAGTGCAGCACACAGCTAGTGCAGCACACAGAGTGCAGCACGCAGGTGGATTGTCGCGGCACTGCCAAGAGAAATCATCACAACTTATCGTATTGTACGAAGCTGCACAAATAGATACAGGTTCAACCTTTTTTTAAGTGCACTCTTTTTTACATTTAAACACATTTTTTACAGTTTACAAATAACTTCATACGAGATAAATGCCACGAGTACTGTCGCCAAATATACTACAGTTCCAACAAGTTAAACACAAGTGCAGACGAACCAGAGATGAGAATTAAGATCCCCGTGTGGCGAAAAATATAAACAAATGCTCACGTTTGGCCAGCGCATCCACACGCTCCCTGATGATGTCTCTTTCCAGGAGGTTATGAAGAGCACGATCAATGGCAATCTCTTTATCTGGGTTATTGCCTCCTGCTGTGGCTTTTGCTCGATCCGAGATCTTTCTCCTACGTGCAGAGACATAACATATGTAACACCACGTCCACAAACAGTCAGCCGCTGACCTCATCATAAGGACACCCATACATGCCAACACGCACGCACGTACGCACGCAGCAACGAACGCAAGCAAGCACGCACGCACGCACGCACGCACGCACTTTCATCATTAGCAACATGCAATGTCTCACTGCTCTCTTGCACGGACGGGGATGCCATCGAAAGTTGAGACACAGGGACCAGAACATGGAAAACTTCAGGTCAGGATCACGCCAGACCGAAATGCACTGACGACACAGCGCAAAATATTTAAACCCATGCTGGGCACTTGTTCGAAAATTGGGAACCGGTGATCGCAAGATCAGCTTAAACGGCCAATGACGACAATGCGCTGTTGATCAGTGTCCGTTTAAACTAACAAGAGACGTTATCGATGTCTATTTAACGCGCTACTTCCTCTCCCACTCTACTAGCTCTGAGTAATTAGCATACGTACTTTTTCCTTGGTGGACACACGTCAGAGTTACTCTCTTCAATCTTGATGCCAAGCTCATCCTTATCGTCTCCATCGTCACAATACGACACGACCACGCTAGACCTAGATTGTCTCCTTCTGCAAACAAGCCGCAATCACAACAGTTTAGAGTAAAGTTACCAGACTGCGATTCTCTTAAAACAGTAACGTCATACGATAAAAACACTGCCATTGATGTGATTGAGCGCTTGTGATTATAAAACATCTAAAAATAGCAGCAGGGCCATAACGCTAACACGAACTTGTACGAGGCACGATCGCACCCAACACTCGTTACACGACAATCTGTAGGAAAACAAAGTCACTGGAGCGATGACAAGGGGTACCTACACACGTTCACGCAAACCTGCGACTAAAACCCTATACATCACCTAATTATTATCCTTCTCGCAACTTAATTATGTCTTCCGAATTTTGGTCAAGCTGCCAACATGTATAGCATCACTATATATACACTATATATAGATATATATATATATATGTGTGTGTGTGTGTGTGTGTGTGTGTGTACATAGTGTATATGTATGCAGTATATTTCTCTATAACATATGTATATAGTGTATGTGTATAGGGTATGAGTGTGTATACAGGGTTCATAGTAGTAAGACACATGTTGAAATAAGGACTTATAAGACCCTTTCTGGAGGCCAAAATAAGACTTTTTTACGCGATTTCTGATAGATCACCGATTATAATTTTTGATTATAATTTTTATATTTTGATTATTAATAATTATATTATAATAATATAATTATTAGTACACTAATAATATTTATATACACAATTGCACAGCAGATTTAATTATTCCGTCTTATATATACAACAATTCTTACTCTAAGTCGAGAACTAAAACAAAGAAGAGCCGCAGAGCGTCTGGGCTCATCTGAGGTCTGTTGCTACGGTTATAAACGTAACATTTAAGTCGTCCGTAGTGAGACCTTTGTTAGGCGTAGATATGTAGATACGCAGTTGCGTACACATCATTTCAGCAACCTTCTGCATTCTGCATACCTCCCAAATCCCATTAGTTGATACAAATTAAATCGCGTGCCTGCATCTTCTGTTTTATGGTGCATTGTGACCCTAACCCTAACCCTATTAAAAATAAATAAAAAATTAATTGTTGTCAAAATTATTTGTTGTTATTAAATTGTTGTAAATAAATCATGTAAATATTTGTGTTAATTGGAAAAAAATAGTTAAATGGATAAAGATAGAAAAATACTGAAAACAGGTAAATAATAAAAAATCTGATGGGATTCGATACAAGGACCTTTGAGCAGTAATCCTGTGCTGTACCCGTTGGGCTATTGAGGCTTACTGGCTTTCTAGATTATGGATGTGCCATGAATATGAGAACACTGTGACATCATTGAGGCAGTTCAGAAATCCATGTTTAACCCTCGATCCTCTTGAAGGTCAAAAGATTATCAGACACTTGCTCTTCGCACATCAGTGGAAAGCACATTTCATGGTCCTTTTAATAAAGTGATAAAAATGGTAGGTCAGCACTGAAACAAAAAAGTTTCCCACTCTGTCCATTAGGCCATGTCCTCAAAAATGTCTGATATCTGACCTTTCCCCCATTGCCCTTTGACCTGTGACCTCCAATTTCGCACTGGTGATGGGTTTCCTGCCCATCACACTATACACCGAATATTATGAGCATAGGTCGAGCCGTTAATATTTGTGCCGCAATTCCGTATTTCCTCCTATACCTTAAGTTAAGGGGGAAATATTCCCCCTCCGTTTACACATCTTGACCTTTGACCCTTGACCCCCAAATTAGTCATCCCGAGTCCTTTTCACGATCCTCCCCCAACGTCCCGAATATCGTGACCGTACGTCGAGCAGTTAAGATTTGTGCCCAACTGTTGACTAACGGACGGACGCACGATCATGCAATTCTACAAGTTGCATCTGACTACGTCAAATGAGCTCAAAATAAGGACTATTAAGTACTTTTCTAAGATTTCACCAAAAATAAGTACTAATAAAGGCCCTTATTTTATTTTTGGCAAAATAAGTACTCATAAGAATTTGGAAGACCCGCTACGAACCCTGGTATAGTATATCGTATATATAGTAATATAGTACTAGTATGTAGTACACATGTGCGTAGTATCTGTGCGTGCGTGCGTGCGTGCGTGCGTGAGTGCGTGTGTGCATGTGTGTGTGTGCATGTGTGTATGATCGTACCTGGCGCTCACGACATGCGGCTGCAGCGGCTGTGAGTCACGACTGCAATCCACGGCCTTCAGCCCCTCGCTATCACGAATCTTCGAGATGGCCTTCAGCCCCTCGCTCTCACGAATATTGGAGATGGCCTTCAGCCCCTCGCTCTCACGAATATTGGAGATGGCCTTCAGCCCCTCGCTCTCACGAAT